TGGAAAAGCTTGTGTTCCACTGTCCCATGCATGAGTTAAGGAAAGTACGTACTGTAGGGTGTATTTTATACAACTCTAACACTTTACTTAACCATCCATGGGGCACCGAATCATAAGCCTTCTTGTAATCAATCCAGGCCATGGAAATGTTCTTTTTACTTCGTCTAACCTGTTGGCAAATAGCCATATCTATGAGGAGGCAATCTTTGGTGCCACGGGACCCAGCCTTTCTTTTATATATATATAGAAGATAGATTACCGTAAGATTAGTAGCCATGAAGTATGTTCTTCCAGGCTATGTCCTACATTTATGCCAAATTTCATCAAGATCCATGCAGCCTTTCTAAAGATACTTCCAAACAAACATACATCCAAACATTCGCATTTATATTAGTAAGATAGATAAGAAAAATAAAATTTATCGCAATGCATTATCGAGAACCACGTTTTAAATCGATTAAGTCGTTAAAGTACATAAACTTACAGACAATCAGATATACAAATACCTTCTCGAGTAGATCAGAACCGTCCCCCTTGCTGCGTGTGGCGCCAAATCCCGTGGCGACTGCTTTCTCGTGAGACACATTCTCCACAGGCAGACATGCCGGAACTGCCTCGTGACTTAACTTCATTCTGAATTTAATATTACGCTTAACTGTCGCCCGCGACTCCGTTCGTGCGTGATTAAAAAAAAAACTGCCTATGTGTTCTTCAACACTATATTCTATATGTATGACAAATTACACCGCGATCCATTCCACCGTTCCGGAGATACCTTCAAACAAACAGCCATCCACCTAAACATTCGCATTTATAATATTGGTAAAATAGCTAGGCCTTCTTAATGTGAAGGAAAACATGGTGATGCTGCACACCAAGAAGCATCTGTCAAGAAATGTCAAAGATATGTGTGAAGTGACGCACTGGACCAGCATTCACTATCACCTAGTCACATCACTTAGGGTAGGCTCCGAGACCCTCCACGGACCTGCTCGGTAGTCCGGGTGGGCGGAGAGGTGAACTCCGACGTGGCGCGTCCCCGGGTGGTGGATAGGGGAACGCCCCGGCATTCGTGTCGGGGTAGGGCGCAAGCCCCGCGAACCAAACACTAGGGTCTGGCGGTGCGCGCAGGACTAGTCAACGAGGTGTCGATAGGTCTAGCGCGCTAGCCGGGCCCCAACCGGTGGAGGCGCCGGAGGTGGACGATTGTCTGCCTCCGTGCTGCCTATGGTGGTGGGGCCGCGGGGGATGCGGGAAGGGTACTGGTTTATCCTGCCCTTCTTGCATCCCTCGTGGCCGGAGGGATGGAGGGGCCGCGAGGGATGTGGGAAGGGTACTGGTTTATCCTGCCCTCCTTGCATCCCTCGTGGTTGGAGTTGAGGTGTGGGGCCGCGAGGGATGTGGGAAGTGTACTGGTTTATCCTGCCCTCCTGCATCCCTCGTGGCCGGAGACGTGTGGAGGCCGCGAGGGTTGTGGGAGGGTACTGGTTTATCCTGCCCACCCGCAGCTCTCGTGGTCTGACGTGAGGGTCCGACGTAACGGACGGTCGCCGGCTGGGTCGCGGAGGAGTGCTCACGCGTACCCGTAACCCGGCCATATGGCGATGAGGAGGGCTAGAGGGGTTTTAGTGGGTATGGCCGAACGACTGTAGGCGAGTCCCACACTCCCTGCGCCATTGCACACTGGCCCGGCGCAGGGGTGCGGAAGTGCATTTCCCCTCGTAAAAAAAAAAAAAAAAGGCTCCGAGACCCTCAGTTGGAACGTATAGAGACCTGATGATGATGAGCGAGGACTATTGAGGGATAATTAAAGTTGAAAGAGTGGTGACAAGTAGTTGTAAGATGTGAGGTAGTGAAAGATGAGAGATACTGAAAGGAAGGGTATAGACATGGTGATATATATATGGTTCCAGGTACAGTCAAGGCAAGGCGTGGTTAAAGTTTTTAAGTGTGAGTGTAAAATACAATGATTAAATAAGAAATGGAATGTGGAAATTAAGGGGTAGTAAAAGGCGTGGTGTTGCAATGGAATTTATTTATCAGCTAACTATACGTCCCCACTGAGGGGCTCGTAGCCTACAAGTTAGGGGTGACTAGGCCATAATCAATGCTAGTCCAGTGCGTCACTTCACACATAACTTTGACATTTCTTCTCAGATATGTGCAGCATCACGATGTTTTCCTTCATCGTAAGAACACACGTAAATCGTACAGTCAACGTCATATAGATCGTCACAGACAAGATATGCAAATATATAGGTGCACCAAAAGTAATCAATTATATCGGTACAACAAAAGTCCTCAAATTAATAGATACATTCACCCTGCTCAAATACATCGGTACATACACAGCGTCAAATATATGAGTACATGCAAGGTGCCCATAAATATCGTAGCAGCCACAGCGTCATAAGTAAAGAAGCAGTCAAGGTGTGCAAAAATATCGTAACATTTCATTATATACTTGTGATACAAGTCCGTCTAAGTTGTTCACTACAAAGTGCGCTACGATGACATAATTCGGGTCTATTGAAGAAGCAATATCGACGTATTACAATGATAAAATAAACATTACGTTACTACGAGGGAAGTATATTCACGACATAAACAAATATTGTCATGATTACGACCAAAAACAATAATAAAATGCATTTTTAAGACTGTCTTCGACCTATGGTTGACAAATAGTATGTAGATCGATAATAGCATTCGGCGATGTTAACCTCGGTCAACCTTATGTGTATACATAACATA